AGACCAAAAGCAGACCAAGACCAAACCAAAAGCAGAGAAAAGCAGACCAAGAAAGAGAAAAAGCAGACCAAAAGAAAGAGAAAAGCAGACGAAAAGCAGAGAAAAGCAGACCAAAAGCAGAGAAAAGCAGACCAAGAAGAGACCAAGAGCAGAGCAGAGCAGCGGCGGGCGGAGCAGACACCCCGTCTTTAAGCAGGAATTACAAACTGCTGTTGACGCGAACCATCTGTTTTGGCCGAAGATTCCTGGGCGCTTTGCTCTCCCGGCCAAAGGGATTTGCGGGAAGCCATCCGCGCGCCGTGTTATTCTTGCGGCGCGTCTTGGAGGGTGACGCGGGGAGAACGATCGGCTTTTGTCTCCCGCGCTCGCTCGCTCGTTCGCTCTCTCTCTGTCTGTCTGTCTCTTTCTCTTTCTTTCTTTCTTCTCTCTCTCTCTCTCTCTCTCTCTTCTCTCTCTCCTCCTCTCATCTCTCTCTCTCCTCTCTCTCTCTCTCTCTCTCTCTCTCTCTCACGCCGGCGGGGTTTTGTGGCCGAGGGCTCTGTTCTGGCGCGTTTTTTAATTAATTAATTTATTTATTTATTTATAATTTTTGTCTTTTATCTTTCTTTTCTTTTTTTTTTGTATTTCGTTTTCCTTTTTGGGGAGTGGGGAGAGGGAGGGGGGTGGGGGAGATGTCTATGTTAGGGAGTTCTATTTATGCATGTTTATTTTTTTATTTATTTTTTTTTTATTTTTTTGTTTTTTGGTGCGTTTTATTTTTTTTCTTATTTTCTGAGAGGTGTCCATTTTTTGAGGGGGGGGGAGGTGTCGCGTTTTTAAAATCTATTATTATTATAATATATTTTTGGGAGATTGTTATTTTTGGGTGTTTTGGCGCGTCCTCTTTTGGGATATTTTTAGCTGTGATGTTTCTCTTTTTGAGTATTCGGCACTGACGCTTGCTTTTTAATTACTTTTATTGGCTCTCTCTCTCTTTCTTCCTTTCTTTCTTTCTTTCTTTCTTTTCTTCTTTTTCTTTCTCTCTTTCTCTCTCCATCTCTCTCTTCTCTCTCTCTCATTCTCCTCTCTCATCTCTCTCTCTTCTCTCTCTCTCTCTCTCTCTCCTCTCTCTCTCCTCTCTCGTCTCGTCTCTCTCTCTCTCTCTCTGCCCTTCTCTCTCTTCATTCCTTCTCTCTTCTTCCTTTGCATTTTCCTTCCTTCTCGCTTCCCTCCCCTCCTCTCAATCTCTTCCCATAATCTACCTTCCTTTTCGAGTATTTGTTATACATTACTTCAAGGTCTTACATGAAGAGGCCCCCCCCCCCCCGATTGAAAGAGAGGAAAGGAAGAGAGAGAGCGGGAGAGAGAGAGGGAGAAGGAGGGAGAGAGAGGGAGGGATGGCGGTAGAGGGAGGATGGCGGTAGAGGGAGGGAGGGAGGGAGAGAGAGGGGGGGAGAGAAAGGAGAGAAGAGAGAGAGAGAGAGAGAGAGAGAGAGAGAGAGAGAGACGAGAGAGAGAGAGAGAGAGAGGAGAGAGAGGAGAGAGGGAGGGGAGGAAGGGAGGGAGGGAGGGAGGGAGGGAGGGAGGGGGGAGAGGGAGGGAGGGAGGAGGTAGTGGTGGCGAGGGAGGTAGTAGGTAGGTAGGTAGGTAGGTAGGTAGGTAGGTAGGTAGGTAGGTAAGGTAGGTAGGTAGAGAGAGAGAGAGAGGAGAGAGAGAGAGAGAGAGAGAGAGAGAGAGAGAGAAGACGAGAGAGAGAGAGAGAAGAGAGAGAGAGAGAGCAAGAGCCGAGAGAAAGAGAGAGAGAGAGAGCCAGAGCGAGCAAAAGAGAGAGCGAGAGAGAGCGAGAGAGCGAGCAAGAGCGAGAGAAAAGAGAGACGAGAGAGAGAGGCAACGAGCGGAGAGCAAAAGCGAGAGCAAAAGAGAGAGAGAGCGGAGCAAGAGCGAGAAACCAAAGGATAGAGAGAGCGAGCAATGAGCGAGACAAGAGAGAGAGCAGCCCGGAGAGCGGTAAAGATACCTGCATGCATATATTTGTAGAGATATTGCTCACATCGCACAGTTTTGTAAGCATTCTGTCCCTGGAAATTGGCTGGGGAATTATCTCCATATATAAAGGCGCCAAAGAGAACGCATTTAAAGTCATTTTATTAGATCCGTTGAACTTGCTTTTTATTTTGTGTTTTATAAGGAAGGAAAGAACAGCCGTTTTTTATTTTATTTTCATTTTTTTTTTGTTTCGTAAATTTGATGCCTTGTTTTTTTTGTAATGGTTAATTCAGTTATTTTTTTGATTGTTATTAATCAATTAATTTATTCGTTCATCTTCATTCACTGGTCTATTTATTTAATATATTCAATTCATTTATTGATTTTAGGGAGAGGGAGAGGGAGAGGGAGAGAAGAGAGAGAGAGAGAGAGAGAGAGAGAGAGAGAGAGAGAACGAGAGAGAGAGAGAGAGCAGAGAGATGAGAAAGAAGGAGAGCAGATGATGAGATGAGAAAGTTTAGAGAGTATTTTTTTA